GAAGTGGTGGTGCAACTACTAAAAGACCAACCACTACTTCAGCAGCTTCTGGAGGTGCAACTACTGGTGGAAATGGTGGTGCAACTACTTCAGCAGCTTCTATAGGTGTAACTACTGGTGGAAGTGGTGGTGCAACTACTAAAAGACCAACCACTACTTCAGCAGCTTCTGGAGGTGCAACTACTGGTGGAAATGGTGGTGCAACTACTTCAGCAGCTTCTATAGGTGTAACTACTGGTGGAAGTGGTGGTGCAACTACTAAAAGACCAACCACTACTTCAGCAGCTTCTGGAGGTGCAACTACTGCTGCAACAACTACTGGTGGACGTGCTGCAAATATTTCTTTAAATTTTGCAAGTGTTGCTCAACCAACAAGTCAATTTAGTACTCAACAGTCAACTACTAGTGCTAGTGGCTCAAATAAGAGTAGCAAAGTTAAAAGAGGTGGTGCAAATCCCGGATATAAGAGGCCAAGAACAGAGAAGCCAAGAACAGCTGGTTTTGGTGTGCTATTTGGAGCAAATGGTAGTGTGATTGAAAGGGTAAGTATTATCATTTAAGGACCTTTAATTTGATTCTATAGAATCTCTCTAACTAATATCATTATTGCCTTTTAACAGTCTGCAACTACTGATAAAGTGTTACATTGTGCACCATTGAAGAGTTCAGTGCCTACCAATATCGATCTTGGTTACAAACCCAATGGACTAAGGTGGAAGGGTGGAGCTGCAGTTACTCAAAGGCAGCTACAAGAACAAAGTTACAAGCGAGCCACTCAGTCCACACCAAGCACTCAAGATACATAAATTTCATAGTAAAGACTCATGTTTTGCCTAGCTAAATTCTCAATGACATTGTCTATGATACTTTTCACTATTAACTTAATTTTCAACTGTTGTGTTAGCTTGCTATGACAAACAAGTTATTTTTGCTTATGAATTTGCTATGATAATTATAAGTCTTAATCTGGATATTTTCATACATTATCATAGTACTCAAATGAACAAATCATCAATACATCTTAAATACAAAAGATAGAAACCAAATGACAACAATCACAACAACACTGATATCAATACTAATGCTCGATCTCCCCTGTCTTCCATGCCTTCTATGCTTTCCATGCCTTCCCTGCCTTCCATGATCATAATTTGTTGATTGATTCTTCATGTAGTGTTGTTCTTGGTAGGTAGGATCAGCCATATCAGCCCATCGAAAAAATCCACATCCATTACCATTTGTGTATTTTTGACAGCCCCAAAACATTCTTCCTGGATTTGTTGATGTTCTTGACATCTTAAGTTCAGCATGAAGCCCACAATAGCAAAAACAAACAGTCATTGTGAAGAACAAAAAAATTAACGAGTAAGAAAAAGGCGAGAAAAATAAAATATAGACAAAAAAGGCCTGATCAATTATGGAGAAGAAGAAGAAATTTGGAGTGAAGAATTTTGGAGAGAGATAAACGAGTGAGAAAGAGAAGACATTTTGGATATTTGAAGAAGAAATTAGGGGAATTTGGGGAAGATGGCCAAAAATGACCGTTATTGGCTTTTTAAAAGCATCTCACGCTCCTAAAGTGGGTGTAATTCACGCACTTGAACTACTTTTGCCACATGGGATGACAGGTCAAAAAAAGGGTTTAAAATGTTGGATTTCAGTGGGTTCGAGGGTTTAGTTGGCAAAGTCTAGATTAGAAGGGCTCAGGTGACAAAATGAGACAAGTACGAGGGTCTCCCAGACCATTCTGCCAAAGATCAATAAACTAAACTTTATTTATCAATCTTGAATATTCTGGACACATTCTAGAATATTCATTTCTTATTTCCTTTTATATTTAATTAATATTTTAATTGGATGGGACATTTTAATGCATTCTCTAATGAACGAGAAAGTTGAATTGACTAATTGATTATGAGCATAATTGAATTGACTTAATGGAAGGAAGAAGATTCATAATGATATTTTTATCACCTTTTTTATTTTACTATTTTTGGAAACGTGTGTTGCACGTTTGTCCCTTTTAATTATTACAAGATTTCCATATAATTAAAAAAAATGAATTTCATAATAGAAAATATGCGTGTATTTCACACTAGTATAAATATTTGTAAATGATTTAAATACAATTATAATATGTATAAATAATTATTCTAAAATTAAGTAATCAAAAGAGAAGGAGTGTAACACCAAATTAAAGCTTAACAATCTGACAATCATATCAAATAGTTTTAAGAAATTGTATCATTTTGATACGTAGATTTCACATGAATTATTAGTTGTGAAGATTTCATATAATGTTTTAAGAGAATATATAAAAATTTATCAATATCTATTACATTATTATAGCATCACAATAAATTATACAACTTCAGATGTACATTATGTTCATCCCACAAATATT